ATGGGATTTAGGTAAACTTTTGTGATGTTTGAGTTTATGATAATCTTGATTGGGATGCTTTTGTAGGGGTATTATGGATGAAGGGCTAGTTTCTATGATGATGAAGGGCAATCCTTCAGAGCTTTTAACGGGATATTGTAGTTGGAATTTTTTCTCTCTTGGGTGATTTTCTTATTACCTTTCTTTGTATTTATTTTTTCCTTTAATAATTTTTTTATTTATCTTCAAAAAAAAGTCCATTTTCATGGGCTTGGGCTATCCTTGGCTTTTTTTTTTTTTTAATTTTCTTAGGGACTTTTACCTGCTCATATCTTTTTTGCCATCAAATTTTCTTGTCAATGATAAAAGGTTAACTTGAAAAGAATCCACCTCAAAAAGTACTGAGGAAGAGCTTGATAGTGCTTCAGGAAGAAATCTATACCATCATACTCATAAGGTTCAACTAGAACTAGCCTTATGTTTGATGTATACCAATATGTCAGAAATCCATAGAATCTCTTCTAAAGAGTTTGGCTTCAACCTCAGGAAGAGCAACTGCAATCTAAAGTCAGCTTCATAAGCTCAGCTACTGATCTCAATTGACAGTGTCATTCTTAGTTCAACCAAAAAAGAATCCTTAAATGCAAAGTGACAACAGGACTACAAAATGCCCACACCAACAACCAGCTTTCCTCCCTAAACACTGCTCAAATAACCACTAAACTAGCACCTTTGAAATATGAATTTGAAAGGATTCTTCCCCAAGTGCCCCAAGCACCATGTGTTGTTAGATAATATTCTCTTGGGTCTGCTATCCTGAAACCTCGCCCCAGTCTGACCTCATACTTAACTTTGGAGGCATCCTAGATGTAACAAGGAGAACAATAGGTTTTACATGTTCAAGATGGTGACTTTATAATGGTAGGAGTTTTGGCATACATCTGAAATGTAATAAGCAAGATGTAGCCAACTTTCAGGAAATGAATTATCACCACTAGCAATACTTTTTATGTTTCCATCAGCCAGATGATGTAGCTTGGTTAGGTAGGTGACATAAGATCACCAGTTCTCTTCTTTTTATAGTAAATAAAAGGAACTCTATCAAAAAGGAAAGAGGGGGGGGGGGGGAGGTATGCAAGAAGTATATTAGGTTTGTGGTTCAAGCACCAAAAAGAAAACACTATCCTCATGAAAGAGCCTAAACCCATAAGCCAGAAAAAGGTTCATCCCTCTGGCATCTGGTTCAAAAGGATCAAATCCTCCCCTTCATCACGCACATTCTCTCTTTTTCATATTATAGAACTTTGTAAATTTAAACTTTACAATCAATTCCACCCCACAAAAGCATTCTACAATCTCTCTTTTTCACATTCTGTTTTTCACCCTTTCCCCTAAAAAATGTTAAAAGAGATTGACTAGCTAATCAAATCTGAAACTCACCCAAAGAGACAAAACACCATAGACGTACTTAAACATCCAAAACATCAAGGGAAGTTGATCACTATTCTTACAGTATTCAATCGAGAACTGTGCATAAGGAAGCAACTTTCAATTTGGTCCTCCCTTTTTTGCAGCATATTTTAATATTGGTCCTAGTTGATGTGGCCATGCCAAGGTTGTATGATAATTTAGTTATATACTTTGATGTTAATAAGTTTATGTTGCCAAGACATTCTTGTGGAATGGATGAAGAGTAGTTGTGCTGTTTTTATTTTTCTATCTCTGTATTTTGTGCATTTCTTCTTTGGTCCCTTAGAAGGGCCATATGTGTATGTTGTTGGTATGAAATGTTTAGAAATTCTCATGCAACATAATTCACTCAATGGAATGATTGAGTTCTTAATTTTTGGGTAAGGCCCATTTAGGGAATCATATGGATAGTTTCCCTTAATTACATCCCTGAAAAAAGTAGAGAAACCACTTCGATTCTAACTCGGAGAAATGAATGCATAGAACAAATAAAAAAAGAGGATTCTTTAAAAGAGAGTCTCATTCATTTGTTTACATATCTCAACATTATAGAAATGATAAATACAGAATACAATCAAGAAATTTTACAACATTGCATTTCTTTCTCATTCATTTTTCTTTACAATAAGCCATAATCAATTGGATAAAAAAATCTGATTGTAGATGACATCACTCTTCCTGATGTTGTATGTGGAAAGAGAACCATAATTAGTCAGATTGAATATCAGACTGTAAACAATTTTTTTTTCCTTCTTTCTCCAATCTTGGGAGCCATAAACAGCCGTTGAGAACAAGGCTGTAGATGACTTAATCTCTAGCTTGCTTTGGTAGAGGAACCATAATCAACCAAGTAGAAGCACTTGATCGTAGATGGTTTCTTTTTCTCTACTTCCTTTCTCATAAGTAAAATTGACAAATCTTGAGAGGTAGATGATAAACAGGGATGAAATCTTGGGATATGTGGTTTCTTAATGGCCTTTGAATTATTTGGGACTGCCTTTAGGGGATTATTTGAGCAATGACGGTTTTTAGAACCTGGTAAATGATACATTCATGGAAGAAAAATTAATTATCCTTGGGTGGTAAAATCATGTTGATAAAATCTACTTTGACCAATTTGCCTGTGTATTTTTTGTCTTTAGAATCCTAGAAATAGCAAGTAAAATTTTGGAAAAGTTGATGAGAGATTTCTTGTGGGAACCAGGGAAAGAGAGAAGAGATCATAGAGTTAGATGGGAGGTAGTCAGTAGAAGCAAGGCTGGTGGTGGATTGGGCATAGGAAATATTCAAAAGAGAAATAAGGCTTTATTGGGGAAATGGCTGTGGAGATTAACTAGGGATAGCGACAAGTTGTGGGCTAAGATGGTTTTGAGTATTCATGGGAAAGCGGCTGAGGGATGGGATACTGGAGTCTTGTCAAGGGCTACAAGAGCTTCTCCATGGAGATCCATTCATGCCTTTCTTCCTTCTTGCCTTTTATTAGGTATGACCTTTGCTCTAGGAATTAGGTGAAATTTTGGGAACATCTTTGGGTGGGGTGTGTCTTTGAAAGAACAATTCCCTTTGTTATATTCCCTTTCCCTATTCAAGAAGGAGCTTGTGTTTACTGAATGTAAACCGTGTCTAGGATTTTAGAAAATGGAGAGTTGTATCCTCATTTCCTATATGTGTCTGTGCCTGTTTCTGTAGTTGGGCATCATATCTTGTAGGTCTGCTAAAAGTTATTTGTGTATTTCTTGATTATTCTTTTATTTTTTAGAAGTGTAAAAAGCATAAATATTCTAACTCTTCAGTTGAAGCTGAATATAGGGCTATATTGTCAACATGCAATGAAATTATATGGTTCAATTCACAAGGCCAGTTCATGGCTGGTCACATCTCTCTTTCTCCTTAGCATTTAAACATCAATTGGTTGACATTTTTACCGAGGTTATGACTTCTTATTCTTAGTTGACATAACTGTCTTGACAGCCTCAGTTTGAGGGGGAGTATAGAAAGGATGAAGAGTAGCCACATTGTTGTTTACTTTGTTCTATCCATATATTTTATGCATTTCTTCTTTGGTCCCTTGGAAGGGCCTTTTTTTGTAATTGTACACATTTTGGTCTTTGGTATGGAGTCAATGACTCATTCTCTTGACACGACATATGCATCATGGTCCTTTCTAGTTCTCTTCTCTAGGGATGGCAAATTTCCCCATAAAACTAGGCCTCCCTGCCCCGAATAGGGTGGGTTTTCCCTGATCTTAAAAGGGGACAGGGTTTGCATATAATTCCCCGAACCCGCCCTGAGCCCAATGGTAAAATATCCCTAAATCTAATATTGATTTTTAAAAATCTCTATGTTTTCCCCAAATTCTTAAAATCCTAGGATCTCATAATTCCACTTCGAAAGTACCCCCAAATTGTCATAATTCAATTCCTAAAATACCCCAAAATTCCCAAAATCCTATTTGTAAAATATCCACAAATTAGATTATTTTTAGGTGATTGCCTTGGGGCGGGGAAAATTTGGGGATTCCTCGTCCCTGACAGGGAGTGGGTGCCCCACCCTGAACCCACCCTGCCATGGGGCAGAGCATCTTGACTACGGGGTGGGGGCGGGGATGGGGTGCCCCGTCCCGAACCCACCCCATTGCCATTCCTACTCTTATTCTCTTTATTTTTTGCACATGAACTGATAAACCTTGAACTGATCTAATCACCCAAGGTTTACAACTCTCAGGTTAGATGTAATAATATTTCTGGTACATTATATGATTTATGGTGATTCAGCGAAGTGTGCACCCAAAATATTGAGTCATATTAACTATATTATTCACTTACAAATGTCTTTACCAGTTAGAACAATGATCTGTTACAAGTTGAAGGGGCTATAAGAGCTGGGGGAGACTGAAAGGACATGGGTTGAGGTATTAAGAAATAATTTAAGGGCTCATAATTTAACAATGGATATGGTACTGAACAGAATAGAACGGCAGAACAGGATTCATGTAGTTGACCTGAATACCTGATATAGTTAGGGCAAGGCTTAGATGATGGTGATGTGTCTTTAACAGTCTAGCTTTTCCACAGCCAAGTAAAAAAAAACCTCTCTAGCTTTTCACTTTAATTAACATAATGACAATTGTTAGACTGAGAAATTGTAGGGTTCAGTGCATCTCTTTGTAAATATCTTATTATTGGGGGTTTTCAATTTGTTTTTCGTTGCTAATTCTTGTTGCAAGAAACTTTTGGAGACTTTCATTAAGGCATTTTACTTTGTTTATATTATATTGTATGCTGTTGGCAGTTGGCACTATACAAATTATCTGATTATGAAAATTAATGACTGTGAGGCAAGTAGGTATTTTATTAAAGACAATATAGTGGCAATATCCTTGGGTATTAGAGTTACCAGGTAGTGTTATTTATTTTATTCAAAGAAATTCAGCTTATATCTTTATATTATCTTGTACAACAATAATCAAAAAGTTTCTGAAGTATGAACTAAATTTGTTTAAAGGAGGTAGCTTGTTCATGTTATTGGTTATGTTTCCACTGTTTCTGTAGATCTGATTATGGAATTTGGAAGTCAAGCTGTTTGTAATGATGAAGAAGATGCTGCTAACTGTTTTGATGGAGATAAAGAAAATCATGATCATGGTGAAGAGGATTTGAGAAACCTAAATGGAAATTCTAATGGTAAAGAACAAGAGGGATATGCTATGAAAGAAAATGAGAATAATGAGCTTTGCCCGAGCATTGGCATGGAGTTTGAATCCCAAGAAGAGGCATATGTTTTTTATAATCGTTATGCAATTGAAATGGGATTCAGTGCTCGTAAAAGTTCAACCCGTAAATCTCAACGTACTGGTGAGATTATAGGTCGCTGTTTTTGTTGTTCGCTTCAAGGCTACCGAAATGCCAGCTCTGTAAGAGTGGTAGAGAGGAAAAGGCTTCGACCAGAATCAAGAACAGGTTGCAAAGCAATGATGTCAATAAGAAGAAAAAAGGGAGGCCGCTGGGTTGTGAGTCAAGTTGTAAAAGAACATAACCATGCTCTAACATCTCCTAGCAAAAGGCATAAACTTCGGTCACGACGAAAAATAATTGAATGGGAAGTACTTGAAAACATGCGTTCAGAGGGAGTTGGAACAAACCTTATCATGAACTTTATGGCCCTTGAAGCTATGGGAAACTGTAATGTTGGCTTCACTATAAGAGAAACAAAGAATTTCTTGAGTACAAGACGACAAAGAGAACTGCGAAAGGGAGATGTTGCCACAATACTTGATTATCTTGAGCGTCAACAGATAAATAATCCTTCGTTCTTCTCTTCAATTCAACTTGATTCAAATGGTCAAATGACTAACTTCTTTTGGGCTGATGCTAGGTCAAGGATGGACTATTATTACTTTGGAGATATTGTATGTATTGATCCAACATATGGAACTGATAAGTACAGCATTCCATTTGTTCCGATTATGGGTGTGAATCATCATTGCCAGACGATTCTGTTTGGCAGTGCATTGCTTTTTGATGAGACAGAGGAGTCATTTGCATGGGTATTAGCGACTTTGATGAGGGCAATGGGTGGTCAGCAGCCAAAGGTTATTCTTACCGATCAAATATCTGCTATTGGAGGTGCAGTAGCACGAGTAATGCCAGGCACCCGTCATTGCTTTTGCTTATGGAACATAATGCAAAATGCCACCAAGTACATACCTCATGCATTTAGTACTCGTAATGGGTTTACTCGTGACTTTACTAGTTGCTTATTATACCAAGGTGATACAGTAGAGGAGTTTGAGTCCATCTGGAAAGAAATGATTGAGAGATACAACTTAAGGGGAAATCCCTGGGCAATGAAGTTGTATGGAAACCGAGAAAAGTGGGCATCGGTTTATGTGCGCGATGTGTTTTGTGGACCCATGTATACCACTCAGTTTGGTGAAAGCATACATGCTTACTTTGATGGATATATGAAAAGGCATATGCCTTTGTATGAATTTGTGAAGCAACATGATAGAGCTGTCCTAGCTAGAAGACAGGCTGAGAATGATGAAGACTTTGAAACCAACCAGAAAATGCCAACTTTGAGAGTTGGTATGAATATTGAAGAAGAGGCAGCACAAATTTATACGAGAGAAATATTACAGAAATTTCAAGATGAGTTAATTCAGGCTCTTAATTACCATCATGAAAAAATGGATGAGGACCAGACAAAGTTCACTTACAGTGTCTGGAAAAAAGAGTATGAGCAAACAAGGCACATTGTTACATTTGATAGTTCTAATAACAATGCTAATTGTAGTTGCCACTTGTTTGAATTTACAGGCTACCTGTGTAGACACATTTTAAAGATATTTGTAGTCATAGATGTTCAAAACCTTCCGTGTCAGTACATACTAAAAAGATGGACACGGGATGCAAAGTTTGGGCCTGTAGTGGATGATCAGGCTCAGGCAATTCAGGGCCATTGTCGTGATCCAGTATCACTACGGTACTTTTTTCTTTATCGGCTAGCAACCAATATTGCAGCAAAGGCTGCTGCAAACAATGAAGTGTACAGGGTGGCAATGAATGGTCTGCATACCAGTTTAAAGGAAGTTGAAGGGACACTGAAGAGGCTATCAATTGGTTCTGTGGAGCACATAAAAGAATTTGAAAGTACACATGGTGATAATATTAGTCATGAAAGTCCAGGAAACTGTCTAGCTGAACAGGGGCCTTTGCTTGATCCGCCCAATGTGAAGCATAAAGGGCGGCCAGGAAGAAAGAAGGCATCTTTAGACAATCAATTGAATAGGAAAATTACACCTAACGATAACATACAAGTAAGTGAGCTTTCCATGCAGTCGTTTGGTGTGATAGGTGGGGAAAGTGGGATACAACAGCCACAAGCGAAAGTGGGTAAGTATATAATATTATCAACAATCAACATTTCTTTACCTAATTTTCTATTTATGTTGCCAATAAGCAGTCATTCAACATCTAATTATGAGCTGTAAGCCTGTAACTCCTTTCTTCCCCTCTGTTTTCTTATGAAGGACAAAGTGTAGAAACATCACTTCTAGGAACCAGTGATCAGCCTGAGGATTCCATACGAACAACTAATGTGATGAATTGTCATCAGACCAGAAATTTGGTCAAGTATGGATTTGTAAAATTTAGTGCCCTATTGAGTTTTGTTGAATTTATAATAAATAAGTACAGATAATTTCTTCTTAATTGTTGCAGTCCATATATGATTCAGAGTGGTGGCAGTCATACATATAGTCCATGTACCACAACAAATCTTGAACTTGATCAGTCTAGTCAGGTATAATGTCTTAAAACAACTTTTCTATTTCATTGATTTTATACTATTATTTCTTGGTGGCAACTCTATTGTTATCTTGTCATGTAAATATTCATTCATAAGATTTTATATTGCAGGGTTTCAATGTGGCTGGTGTACAACATTCTCCACTTGTTATGGTTGGCCATCAACTTCACCGTTTGAGTCCAGTACTATGCTGAGAATGCTTTAACTACTTTATTTAACACATTAATTGGTTCTTTTTTTACATAGCAGAAAAACTTGTAATTTATTGGTATTGCAGGAATCCTCAGTTGCTGGACAGCAGAGACAACAGTTGATAATTTCTCGCCATGATGACATAGCATGCAATGGATTTTATCCCCAGCAGCATAGTGGTGCTTCCTTCGTTGGACATCATCCATTTGGTCAGGTAATAACAGTGCCACTTATTATCTCACATATTTTTGTGTATGTGTCTTCCTACTGTTTAACTTCCATATATTGCATCTTTTGTAGAGAACTGCACCTGCATTTGTATTGAATCCACACCAACTCCATGGCATTATGAATATTGATCTCAACGATCCTAGTCAGGTATTCTTCAATCTTGCAAGTTACTTGGGTATTTTGCTGCTTGGAAGCTATTTAGAGAAAGATCCTATGACAACCTTAATTAGAGAAGGTGGAACAAAACATGTGTCAAGCAGGTGACTATGACCTTAACTTTCAATGTGTTACCCTTGTATAGGACAAGATTTGACCATTCTGATTTTGGGATATGTTGTGCTATGGAGGTTATCATTCAATGGTTCGTCCTCTTTGATTCCAAATCCTGCAACACACAATGACCAGGGGAAAAAATCACTAAACAGTTCAAATTCTTTGTCAAGGTATTAACAGATAAAAAGTTAGTGCTTAGTCTAGGAACATAAAGGACAGAAGGTAGAGTAATGGTATCAGTTATCCTGACAGACCCTTCCCAGCAATGGGAACATGTGATCCATTAGCTGTGGAAACTCTCTCTGCCAGGGCAGAGGTGGTATGGGGTGAAAATGGTGGAAATGTTGGTCATATGTTATGAGGCTCTTGAGTCTATAATCCAGGGCCCCCTTAACTGTAGTGGATACATAATTTACAATGGCATGTGAACTACTTGTATGTGCAAACGAGGTAGAATGACTACCTCCTAATCCACTTGCACCTTGCTATCCACCTAATAATGAGTTGGAACTGGCTATATCCTTCTGATTCAGAATCTGCCCATATCTCTTTAATTCGGCCCTCATTACAACTGCTGTAACAAACACTAAAGAGGTTGTAGTAGGTGGCCCTGATTAATCACCAGTCACCGTCATATTTACATTTCCCTTCTTATTTCTGAGCCGGATTGGTACAAGGTGTGGGTAAAGCTTCCAACAGGTATCTTTGGTATTTTTGGGTTTCTTACAATAGTCATAGATCAGACCCCTTTTGTCCTTCTTCCTCAATTCATTTCCACCCTTGTCCCCACTCGACTTAAGCTTCATTGTACTAACCATAGTTAACTGCTCAAGGCCTGGGTTCCTCATCATTACATTCCTCTTGCTTTCCTCTCCAAACACAAAGGCATATGCTTGAGAGAGAGTTACGCTGTCTCGGGAAAGAATATGTTGTCGTGCAGTATCATACTCAAGGTTAAGTCCAGCTAATTACTCAAAAACCCTATTCTTCTCTACTAGCTTTTGATAAGTTGCTGCATCTTTGCTACTTTCCCAAACCACAGTCTCCAAATGATCTATCTTCTGCCGTAAGGTTTTGAGGGCTGAAAAATAAATAGCAACAGACTTATCTCCCTACCTAGTAGCAATCACCTAGTTTCTCAAATGATAGGCTCTAGCAACATTTTTCATTCTGTGAATAGGTTTTCTGCTACTCTATCCCAAATCTCCTTAGCTGTGTTAGCTCATAAAAAGTTCTTACTTATACGGGGCAACATGGAATTGCACAGCCAAGTCATCACCATGTAGTTCTCCTGTACCCATCAGGAGTGGTTAGTTTTAGGTTTCTTTTCCTCATCGGTGACATACCCCAATTTCTCACGAGCACCAATGGTCATCTTTGCAGATTGTGACCATTCTAAGTAGTTTGTACCATCCAACTTGACTGTAGTGATGGTTCCGGCCCTGAAGAGGTCTCTAGCACCTCCTCCCTCGGATCCTATTTCCCCTGTAAATTTGTTTTCAACTCCACATCCCACCATAACTCCCAGAATATATTAGGAAATCAATTTGAGATGAAAAGAAAGGTATTTATCTCCTTTAGAAACCTCAAACACCCTCTTGGAACCCTAGAAGCCCCTTCCTCCAAAGATTCCTTTTTTTGTGGGAGCGGGAGAAGAGAGAGAAGAGGCTGTCACTCCCTTCAAAGACCTCCAAAAAGGCTGGGATTTGAACAACCCCCTTTAGAAAACCTCAAAGAACCCTAGAAAACTAGAGCACCACTTCCTAGGTCAAAATTGAAAAGTCCTACTAAATCAGGACTCTCCCCCTTTCTCCAGTTCTTCCTGATTTTGGTGTAAAACTTTAGACCAGCTACTAGGGATTGCAATTCCACAAAAAAAAATCTAAAAATTGGGCTTACTTGAAGTCTTCGATCAGCCCTTTACCTTATCATGCAGTCGGTCGATCTAGGGCTGCATGATGGAGTATCTCAATAAATCTTTAAACTTGCTTTGATACCAAGTAGAAAAGTTTGGACAACCTATTTTGATATAAAAAACTGTAAAAGAAAGAAGAAAAGAAAGAGAAGAAAATGTTTCAGCTGAGAAAGAGAGAGAAGAGAGATAGAAGAGAATGGAAGAAGCTCAGAATTGGGTCTGGCCGCCCCTTTCATTAGATTGTATACTCATAAATAAAAGAGAGTACAAAGACAAGTATGCCCTTAGTAAGTCGGCTACTTGTGAGAACTTAAAAACACTCTTAACTTAAAACATAAACTAATGGGCCTAAGGCCCAATAACTCCCTAACTATGCTATGTAAATAAAAAACATGTTATATAAGCCCAAAACTCAACAGATAGATAAGAGATGGTCCAACTTTAGTTGTTCAGTATTTCAGGATCATGGTGTCATTTGGCAGGCATTGCTGGTCAAGTTATTCAGAGAATAAATGACCCAGAATCTTCCATGTGCTACTATAGTTAGAAACCCAAAATTGCCTTACATTTTCATCTTATCATTATCATGCAGCAATGTTCAACTTATAGAATCTCTTCCATGTCTCCCATTAAGCCCTTTTGGTCACTTTTGAACTAAAACTTCTAGTGGTGAATATCTATCAAGATGAACTTCAATGTAATGCATTTAAATTCTTGAATAGGTGATACAGGACAGGCTATTGGCTCAAATTTATGCAGTTTGCATTAAAAATACTAAGATCTGCTTCTAGGGAACGATTGGGGGTGGTTGTAGCATGAAAAAATTGTAGGGCTGGTAGGTTAGCTTGGACTTGGCTTTCGGAATTGCAATTTACAGAAACTATTATTTGGGACTATATTGTAGGAATGGGCATGAGCAACCCAGCTTAGTTGGAGCTGGGCCTAGATCTGGGTTTCTATATTGTTGATTGTGGGCTTGCCCCCTTTTATGGACAAACCAGGCTTGGGCTGGTTACTTCAAATCCTGGTGGTACAATCTATATTGTTGATATGGGTTTCTATATATATAAATGCTGCATATATAAAACTTAAAGATCAATTGTGTAATTGTATGGTGGTACAGTCTGTTTTTGTTAGTTTTCCTCTGATTTCTTTAGATTTTCCAAAATCTTAGTGAAATTAGTGAATTATTCCCAAAATTTCCCTATATCTGTATAGTGTAATGCCCTTCAAAATTGAAATTGTGAACCATGCTTACAAACTCTCAAGTTACCAAGCTAATGGCTTGTCTAAATATAGTTGAGTTGGACCCTATAAGCTTAGTTAACAATAGGATTGGTTCTAGGTCTAGTATTTACATACTCTATAGGATTTGGGTCAGGCCTGACTTTGCATGTTTTCTTATTGGGTTAGGACAAGGTCTAACCTTACCTGACCTGGGTCTGAACAATTAACAGTCCTAGAAGTCGTATTACACCACAGTTTGAAGTCTTTGCATGGTTGCTATCTTTGGATAGTTTTCTAACAGTGGATCACCCATAGTCAAGAGGTTTTCAAATGACAAATCAATGTTGAGTGTGTTCAAGGTTTGAAGATGTTTGGAATTTATTTATCCATTATAAGGTAGCAGTCTACCTTTGATCCTTTATAAAGGTGAGCATTATTCGGTTAAAACCAAAAACTGAACAAAATATTTTGATTTTAGTTGTTTTTGGTTTGGTTATTTCGGTTTTTGATTAATTTGGATTTTGGAAATTTTGGTTTAGTTTTAGGTTTTCAGAATTAGAAATTTGGTTAACTGAAAAACCAAACTGAATTTCATTATATAATATATAATATAATATACTCGTATAGTAATATATATATATATTATAATGAAATTCAGTCTCATAATACATATTGTAATAATACATATTATATGTTATAATATATTATATATTAATGGAATTCGGTTTTAACCAAAAACCAAACAAAAATTTCAGTTTCAGTTATTTCGGTTTGGTTTTTAACCGAATAAGCCAAATACTCACCCCTATTCCTCTACATTATTTAGATGCTTAAAGTTCTCTCCAACTCACTCTCAAATCTTATGGCCAGTTGGCCACTTATGCCTGGTGGGGAAAAAGGCAAAAAATCATGTGGAATATGATTTCATTTGCAAGTTGTTGTGAGATACGGAAGGAAAGAGAGATGAAAATATTTGATGGAAGATCCTGCAACATTAGGAGGCTTCTTTAGCTGTTTGTTCATTGGTTTTGGATTGGATGTTGGAAAATTGAATCATGGGCAGATTTGTTTGGCGTGGATTTCTTATTTTCTTTCTGTTGTTTTTCTTATTTTCTTATAAGAGATTATGTTTTTCCTAATTTGAAGCTTCTTTACCTCTTATTGTAATTTCTTTTCTTTAATAAAATTTTTTAGTCTATGTAGGGCTTATGATATTTAAAGTGGGTTCCACCTAAGGCTTAACAGTTTCTGTATGCACCCCCATTCAAGGGATGCTCCCTGGGTTGGCCTCTGGACAGACTGGACCTATGAATCTTTTACAGGGAAACTTTCTTGGGGACTGAAAGGGATTCCCTATGCTACTCTCCCCATTCTTGATTCATGGAAAAAATTTTGGCTCATAACACTCTTTAATAAGCCTTTTCTATGGGTATGTTTTAGTAACATTTGTCCAATCAGAATTGTTTTGTCTGATGGACCCTTTGGATCAGTCTCAGGGTTCTTTCAAATGGCAGAAATAAGTGAGGTTGTTCAGGGAGCTTCAATAATTGAATATGAAAAATATAGTTGTTCATAAAAAAATAAAAGAAAAAAACATAATATGTAAATATATTGATAGAATTTGTAATTAAATGTGGTACCATACATCATTCATGGTAGAAATACATCATAATACTTATATATAGATTAGCATTTGAATTTATCCAGGGTCTCCAGGATTGGTGGTTCATCCTGGGGCATGCTTGGGGCTGGGCCCAGGCCTGTACTTTAGGCCCACAGGCTAGAGGCGAGACCTATGTGCCTTATATTGTTTGGTATGGCCCATGCCTACCCCTACCTTATTGCATGAAAGAAGTTGTGCAAAAGGAAGAAAATGAGAACTGTAGCGTTATTCCAGGAATGAGAGCATATTGTGTCTGGAGGATGAGGCTTATTGATGGGTTTGGGCCCCAAAACTTGTGACCTGTCCTATATATTTTAGTAATAACTGACCATTGACTGAGTTCCACCTAAAACATTGACTATGCAAAATATTAGAAGTCACTCGATATTTAACCATTTGATTTGGGCATTATTTTTAGAGTTTCTCTTTGACCTTAGGGTAAACTTTTCTCAACTGTCCATCTACATGCATTAAAATCAGACGGCTATAGTCTTCTTTACGTGTTGAGTTTTGGCCTGACTTATCTTAGTGTATGGGATCCATACAATGGTCAATCTTGATGTTTTAAAACACGGAACTTATGGCAACTTATGCGGTCCTCAGATCCATTTATGTTTCTTATGTCCCCAGACCCAAGATTTAGCTTTCCAAGAGATTAAGAATTAAAAAAAGGAAAAATAAATGAATACTGAGTAAGGTAATGAGGTACATACCTTAATGGAATCAGCACTTGCAAGTAGCATCTCAACTAGCTATAGGAATCTGACCTAGAAGCAACTGCATCCTCACTAAGTCTTGGCATCCCCCAAACAAAGCACAGAATAGAAATTGTAACTTCTATAATGCTTTTTTTTTTTTTTTTTTTTTTGCAATAGCATTCTTCACTTCATAAAGGCTCATGTTAATGTTCCTATTTTAAGACTCAAGTACTCTGAAATCATAATTATAGATAAAAAAGAAATATACAGATTAAGTGGGAAAACTTTTAAAAATCCAACATTTTTTATCAAGTTTGACAAGAATTTCTATAAAAAGGAAGCTTCTATAAGTCCTAAAGCACATAAATCTAGTTCAAAAGCTCAAGTAACCTTAAAACTCAAAACCACATAAATTCTGCTATTGGTTAATTCATGTATTGCACATTCTTAGACTTTGGATGAGCAATTGAATTATTTTTCTAATCATTATAATCATCTAAGCCTTATCCAAACTAATTGAATTGATACTACAGGTGGAGCAATGGACTTGGGACAGTTTTATCTTTTATTTCTAGTTATGCTTCAATTAATTGACCTATAATGTTAAGCTATTGCACCATCGCATTCTGCACCTCTAGAGAAGTGGCCACGTGGTCAATTGTGAGGGTTCCATTTTGTATGATTAATATCTGGATTGGCCAAACCATCCTTAAATATGAATGAAATGACGTAGATGGTTTTGAGACGAGGCCTAATTGAACTGACTATGAGACGTTTTTTCCTCTATCACACACCCCATGCACTTTTGGAAAAGATTTTTTAGTTATATAATTTGGTGGTACCTGTAGATTGATTGGACAACTTCAGTTGTTCCTTATTATTTGTGTTTTCTTATTTTGCAGAAGGGAGATGGAAGATCAATGTAAACTATGAATGAACCACTTAATTGTTCCTGGTTCTAGATGTTGATTCCAATCTTCACCCGCGATGTTTTCTGGAAACTTGTTGGACTTGATGAACAATGGCTTCATGTACATGAGTACCATTTTGCAATAGGCATGAAACCAAAATTCTGCTGACGCTCTACATCTCATGCTTGCAAAATAATTCATATTGTGGCACATTGAAAGCAATGTATCGTGCCTCTGCATATCAACCTTGCTAATCCTGGAGGTTCATGATGTACTTTCATGGGCATTTTTCTTCAACGAAGCATCATTCTTCCCATTATCCTTGGGCCAAATCTTTCATTGTATAGCTATGGGGGGAGTATTGTCAATGCTTGACATTTGGGTGTCATTGATGGTCTGTAGTTTGGTTTGTACAGGGGGTTTGTGGTGGTATTCAGATGAGCTTTTGGGTGAATCCATTTCAATGTCTCAATTTTTGTATCATATTTGTAACATATTTTTGTTCATACGAAGTAGAAGTACATGCCTTATTTAGCTGATAGGCAAATCTCTATGCTACCATTTTTGGCGATGTCTTAATTTATCTGGTATGTAATTGAAAGTGGAGCTATTATGATGTATATTTATTACAATAATGAAGGAGTTGAATCCTAGTGATCAGCCAAACTTTGAAATTGAAAATTTACCAAAGCATTGGAGTTGCAGTCCTTGAATTGAGGAGTTATCCCACTGAGATCAGGCATGTTTGTGATGTGTGGACTTTAGGATGAATCAAACGGACAAACATGCATGTTGTCTTTGGGGATTGGGATGAGTCTTTCTCGATCAAATCAGAGTGAAGTGTGAAGCAACCAGGTCTGCCCCGGCTAGAGGATGGTTATCAAAGCAACCTGCCTAACCCACTTACTGTTGGACTTTACAAGTTAAATTTTTTGAATCTTCTTTTTCAGCTCCAACTTTCCTTTCCTCGCACTTGATCTTATTGTGTTTCGTTTTCTTTTGCTCAAGAAAATTGATCAGTCCACTGAGGGCGACTTCAGCTTCCTCACTCTTCATTAGCTCTTCTGCGACCTCTGCAGGAGTGACTTGTATGTTCTCTATTAGGTCTTCAATCTCCCTGAAGAGCTGGTGATTTTCGTGTATGCCCAGGTAATTGGATGCTAGAAGCTTGAATCCTTTAGGGGTGCAGTAGGACATGTGAATATGCTTATCCATGCGACCAGGGCGCAACAATGCAGGGTCCAGCCAATCCTTGTGATTGGTTGTGAGCACAATGATCCGTTGGTCTCCACAGCTCGACCAGAGACCATCAATGAAGTTGAGTAGTCCCGAGAGTGTCACCTACAGCATGACTAATTGGTTTATTTAAAGAAATTTATGGTAAGCCTCCAACTAGCTGGCTTAAACTGAAGAACTAACCTGATCATCTGATGCCTTGAGTTTGATCTCCAATGGTTTACCTTCCAAATGTGGATTACTTGAAGCCTTGGCTTTAACTTCCACTGGCTTATCTCTGTTTGTTTGCACTTGTCGATCGTAGAGCTGAATGCTACAATCGATATCCTCGATCACCAGTATCGACCGATTCTTTGTGGCAACCAGCAGCCTCCTGAGGTCTGAATCACGCCTGACTTTTGAAAGCTCCAAGTCATAGATGTGGAAATTGAGGTAATTGGCCATGGCAGCAATCAAGCTTGATTTCCCAGTACCAGGCGGGCCATATAACAGATACCCACGCTTCCAAGCTTTCCCCACTTTCTTATAGTAGTTTCTCCTTTTCATGAACCTGTCTAGATCATCTATCAAATCCTTCTTGAGTTTAGGTTCCATGGCCAAGGTATCGAATGTCGCTGGGTGTTCCAGGTTGATCGATCCCCACACTCCTACCCCTCTGTCATGGTGCAGGGAGCCAAGCGTATGAAGCTTTACAACCTTGCTGTCTTCTTTCATGGCATTTGACATGTCAAATATGTGAGAGAAGTAAGAACCCAACACCTTTTCCTTGTACTTCTTATTGAAACAGAGCTCAAAGGAACGCTGTGTGTCATCATGGCGACCTTTGGCGTCATTGGAGCAAATGAACTTCCACTTGAGCTGAATTCCTTCGAAGACGTCTATAATCTCCTCCCCATTTTCTATCGTGAGGATGAGATTCTTATCTCTTGGCGCTTTGCTTAGATTTAGACGACTGACTGAGGGCGAGATTCTGGTACGCAGATACATCTCCGAAGCTTCATAGACTTCATTAGCAGTAATCCCATTGAACTCTTCGATGACAAGGGTGAACTGGGCGGACCAAAGGCGGAGGAGGTAGCCGAGGCTGGAGAAGAGGTAGCCTCTGAGATGGTGGGGAATGAATTGATTGATCAGGGACTGAATGAGCAGGAATGCCGTGGCCAAGGAAGCATATCCTGAGAAAAGTGTGGTCATTGAAGGCATTTCTCGGAGAGAAAATGCGTTCAGAATTCTGGAGCTGAGAGAAGCCATTATTAAGTCATCAGTTGAAGGTAATGATCTGGGTAGTGGTAGTGGGCTAGTGGGGTTGTTCTCAAATCTCAAAAAACTTCTCATCTCAGTTGTGTGCATGAGAGGAGACGGGATCTGCTCCTCACAACTGGCGCCTCATAGAACATATCCTAGCATGCATTGGGAACATCTCCCGTACTTATTATTAGGAGATGTTCCCAATGCACGGTGGATGTGCGTGTAAGGCGGCCCATTTGTGAGGAGCAGATCCCGCCACGCATGAGACAAGCTATTGTTGCTTAGTTGGAATTCCACTAAGAAAACTTTCCTTGATTGGAAGTGGGGACTAGACTAAAAGAGTTGCTGGGTTTTGACCAGAAAAGAGAAAGGCAAGAGGGAGGTAGCGATGAACCACCGCCAGAGTTGTGTTTCATCTGATAACCAATGAGAACCCTGAAGTGTTTACCGTTGATTGGGCCAAATATTCAAACAACATCAAAGTAATAAGATTTTCTTTTGTGTTGCCAATAAGTGATACACACGTAACAGTAGGGCTGCTGGGTTGTCGCAACTTGCATAAGACCGTCGTCATCTAGAATTCCTGATAACGACTGAAATAAACTTTGGGGAAGCTGGGTTCGCTATACTAGAAGATACGACCTAACCAAACAACAATTCACTGTAGAAAGAGTTATTGAATAATTATTGAGTGGAGACGGAGATCTTGAATCGGATAATGTGGTTTCCACTGTTCCAGACTCCAGTTCCGCCTACCGAGTTGGGTTGGCCGATGACTCAATTATTCAGAAAATTTCAGTTCAGATGGTCGGTCGGTCATCTCCATTCCGAGTGCTTCTATGGGCCAAAGTCCATACCCACTGAATCCTAAGTTATTAGGCTCCATTTGGGGAGAATGTAAATATAAATACAAACATGTGCAAGTCAGCTAGTTTCATGAAAATGACAGTATTTGTATTTGCATTCTTTCCAAACGCACCTTTTAAGCACAGTTTGGAAGGACTATACAAAATCTTATATTTTATATTATTTTGTATGTATTTATAATATTCATATTTGTATTTGTATTCTTGTCAAACTGAGCCTTGCACATTTGTGTATATTATAAATACAAGTATGGGACATTTTGTATTTGGGATTGTTTATTTTTTGTCAATATTTGGATGGTGGATAAAGAAAGTTAGGGCATTTATGTCTTTTTAAATATCACTTAACGGTTGGTTAATAGTAGATACTGAACTTACACGTTTTAAAAGTTTAGATACTAATTATCTTGTTTTAAAGTTCGGAAACCAAAGTGGCACTAGGCCCAAAGTAGAGGGTAATAATAAGGAATTTTCCAAAAAAGTGATAACTAATCAGGTGTTAATCATTGAATTCTGCCCTTCAACATACCCATTTCATTAATTGTCTTGATGGAAAATGCTGATATAATGTTTCAAGGTTTTTAAAGGCAAATTTGGAATTGAATCTTTAGGTTCAGTTTAGAAAAAGTATAAATACAAATACATATAAAATAATACAAAATACAAGATTTTGCGCTCTACACATTTGTATTTATACTCCTTCCAAATGTAGCCTTACCAAAAAGGGGGAATGAATTTTGGCCTCCCCTTATGCAAAACTCAAGCAATTTGAAGAGAGAACAACGTATTCACTATACACACTCATAATTTCAACGTCAATGTTAAAAAAATAATTAACAAAAAAGGTGCATTTGTATATTTATGTGAAAGGTGATCGGAGATTCATTTTAGCCAATTGAGGGGTAGTTCAGTTGGCATGTTAGTCCAAATCAATCAATGTTTGGCATGGAATTTGTCAATTAATTAAAAATAAACCAATAAAATATTGTAAATGTATCTCACATGTAAAAAAAGGGCCATGTGTGAACCATACAAGATTTCAGGGAAATCGTTGATGCATTAGTCACATACTGCCTTTGCATTCCCCGTCAGAACAATAAAATATAAATCCCTAAAAATGTGTAGATTTTAATTCATCAAATTATATATGAACAAAAAGGTTACATTGTAAAACCCAGTACCGTTTTTCATATAATTATATATGGAAAAATTATATTCCTTTTTTTCAATGTTTGTTTTGAAAAAAGTGCTGAGATGGAAATGGAAAAGCATGGGATACGGAATCCCAAAATTGAAGATGCCTGGTCAAATCAAAACAATGAGACCCCTTTGAGAAAAGAAAAAGATATTTTTTGAGAAAATTTTAGGGAGAGTGGGCTGGCCCGTGGGTGGCCCGTGTCGTCTTCTTCGATGGAAATTTTGGGGGTCGACCCGGCATGGCCCACGACCCAGTCCCAAGCGGGCCCGTGTCGTGTTGTGTCAGCACATGAGCGTGGGCCGGGCCGGGCTGCAGGTTGTTCCGGGCTGGGCCATAGGGCTGGTCTTGGGCCTAGGCCGAACCAGGCTGTACTGTTTTTTTTTTTCTTTTTTATTTTTTTTTGAAAATTTTGATTTCTTTTCTAAGTAAAATTGTAAAACTAAAATATTTAACTTTCCTATGAACTTTGGGAATTAGGAACTACTTAAAAAATTAAGAAATGAGAAATCTAAGTTATTTAATACATAAATGAAAAAATGAAAAATTTTACAAGTAGTCAAGTTATTTAATACTTGACCAAATTAAATAAGTATTTTTTAATTGTAAAATGAAAAATTTAATACAAATCTAAGTTATTTAAATACTTAACCAAATTAAAAATTTTACAATAATTTGAAAAAATGAAAAATTCTACAAGTAGTCAAGTTCATGAATCATCATTTATGACTTTCATCATCTGCTTCGGGTGAAATGTCCAGTGTTGTATCATGCCCTCCATTGTCTTGTAATCTATCTTCTACATCTAGCCAATCCTTGAAGCAGATACACATCTCTATGCTCTCATCGTTCATGCAACTTCTTTTGTCATCCAGCACCCTGGTACCTGCAATAAAACAAGACTCCGATGGAACTGTAGACATCGGAGGGATTAGTTGATCACGTGCCATGGTGGCGAGAACCAGATAATTTTTCAAGTGTTCACTCCACCAGGCTAAAATATCAAAATTATTTGATACTTCACCTAAATTAGAAAAAATTACTTGCAAATAAAAATTAAGTTCAGTAAATGAACTTGTTGTAGAACTAGCAGATTTTTGCCTTCTACTTATTAAATAAAAAAGCTTTTCTCTTCTACTACTGGGCTCAATGTCAGAAGGAGAAGAAGAAGAAGATGAACAAGTTGTAGGAATATTCATAATTTCATACAAACTGTTCATACAACTTCAGATTGTATTTCTTTTCTCTTCTATTCATATTTCCTACAACTTCAGATTCATACAAACTGTACATTTCAAATAATAAATTATTAATTTCTTCTTTTTATTTTCTATATCAATATTCATATTTTCATAATATGTTTCAAATAAAATATCTAAACCATCTTTCCTAATCCTAGGGTCTAATATTGTAGCTAAACAATAAAGGGGAGAAATGTTCTCCCAATATTTTTTAAATTTATTTTTCATAATTTCAACAATACATTGAAACTGTGGATTATTTCTATATTTCGTTAAACAATCACTAATTACCATTAATTGATACGGTAAATTACAACTAGTTGGATAATAAATTCCAGATAATTCATTTGTTGTATCATAAAAATGTTTTAAAAAATCTCTTATACAAACTATCATTTCCCAGTCTTCCTCAAATATCATATCATTAGGAATTTTTAAATTATAAAAATCAGAAATAATTTGTTTATGAGATATACAATTTTCTAAATAGCATAGGTAGAATTCCACCTATACTTTACATCTAATATAAAATGTTTATATTTTAAACCATAATTTTGGCATAAATATTTAAATTCTTGTTTTCTTGCCCCTGAACTTTATTATATATATATATTTTTAATTTTTGAAATATGATTTGAAATAATATTCAAGGCATCTTGAATACATAAATTTAAGATGTGACATGCACATCTAATATGAAATAATTTACCATTTAAGCATGGTTTTAATTGAGATTTTAAAATATTTATTGTAGAATCATTATTGCTAGCATTATCGAAACTAATAGAAAACAATCTATATGCATGCAAAGTATTTAAAATACTTGCAGCAATAGTTGGGCCACTATGTGGCCATTCAAGCCTAGTAAAACTTAAAATTCTTTTATTCAAAAGCCAATTTTCATCAATTAAATGACTAGTAAGACAAATATAACTAATATTAAATTTGGATGTCCAAACATCCGAAGTAATTGCAACTTTAGAATTAAGATTTGCTAACAAAGAAATTAAATTTTGTTTATATGAATAAAAAATTTTTAAAGCATAAGTTCTTATAGTATTTCAAGAAACTTTTTTATATTGTGGGTTTACAGAACTACGCAACCATTTTTCTATCTTTGGATCTTCAGCTAACATAAATACTTGTTCTGCATGTACAATATACTTATCAAGTTCTTATCTCATTTTTTCTTGTGAATAACTAAAAGTACCAAAACTAGTCCCTCTCCCAATCTGTGTTTGGGTTATTTCTCTCCCTTCATCTTCCTCTCGCTCATGTGTGAGAAGATGTCTGCTCAAATGACCCGTACCACCCGTGCTATAATAACTAAAGTCTTTCCTACATTTTTGGCAAACGACCCTTTTCCCCTTCCCCTCAATATCCTCTACTTTGAAAACTTTCCAAACTAGGCTACTCGGCTTAGGAGCCCTCCTTTTTCCCCTAGTATCACTACTACCAGGGGTGAAAGTTCCACTTCCATCGACATCAAATGCATCAGTGCTAACACTAATACTATCGTGATGCGATTGAATGTCATCCATGGTGAACATGTTGGGGAATCGGTTTTGAGAAGGGCCGGCCATTTTTTTTAATTTAAAAAGATAAAAATTAATCTATTTCGACTTACACAGATTGCTGGTCCAAAATCCAAACTTGATTTCAATGGTTGAAGCCTTTCAACATCCAAGCCTCCCGAATTGAGATACTTGAGCTGGTTGAGTAAGCCTTTTTCTTGTTGAAAGTCAAAACTTTGATAAA